TTCTCTTCCTGCAGTTCCCAAATTTCTCTCTCTCTCCTCTCCAATTTCTCTCTCCTATCCTACCTCTCACACAACCTTCTCTCTCGTCTTCTCCCTACCAGATACATCTTGCTCTCTTCCTCTCCCTCTCAAAATTTCTCTCTCATGCCACTCTCCCTCTCAATTCTCTCTCTCTCCTTTTCCCACGATTTCTCCTCTCTACCTCTCACATTTCCTCTCTCTCCTCTCAATTTCTCCATCTCTCTCCTCTCAATTTCATCCTTGCATACTCTCTCTCTAGTCTCTCTCTCTCTCTCTCAGTCTTCTCTCTCTCCTCTCTCTCAAGTCTCCTCGTCTCTCTCTCTCTAGTCTTGCTCTTCCTCCTCTCATCCCTCCTCTCTTCCTCCTCTCTTTCTCTCTCTATAAGATCAACGTCATGCTCCAAGCAACCGAACCCTCGCTTCCTACTCCTCAGCCTCTGTCCTCGCCCCAAGTTCGCCTCCCTACCATCCTTATCTCTCTCTTCTCTCTCTCTCTCTCTCTGCTCTCTTCTCTCCTCTTCTCCTCTCTCCTTCAATCCTCATCTCTCCTCTCCATCTCTCTCTTCTCTCCCCTCTCCTCATCTCTCACTCTCTCCCCCCTCTTCCCTTCTCTCTCTCTCCTCCTCTCTCTTCCTCACTCTCTCTCTCTCTCTCTCTCCTCTCTCTCCCTCTCTCTCTATCCCTCCTCTCTCATCTCCTCCTACTCCTCTCCTCCATCACTCCCTCCTTCTCTCCCCTCTCGTCTCCTCTCACTCTCGATCTGCAGCCTACCTTCTCCCTTCCCCCTTCTTCTTGCTCCTTCGCCCCCCGCTCCTCTCTACCCTCTCTCCATTCCCCCTTACCTCCTCATCTCCCTCCCTCCTCTCCCTCGCTCTCCTCACCTCTCTTGCTCTTCTACCTCTCCTCTCCGTCCTCTCCCTCATTCCCTCCTCCCTCCTCGCTCCTCCTCTCTCATCTCTCTCTCTCGCTCTCTCTCTCCTTCCACTTCATCGTCTCTCTCTCTACTTCCTGCCTCCTCTCTCGTCTCTACTCTCCTCCGTCTCTCCATCTCCTCTTCTTTCTCTCCCTCGTCTCTCTCCCTCCGTCTACCTCCCTGGCCAATCCTCTCGTCTCTCTCTCCTCTCCTCTCGTCTCCTCGTACTCCCACACCACCGCCTCAAACCTCACCTAATTACTCTCGTCTCATCCTCTTCCTCCTCCATCTGCCTCTCTCTGCTCGTCTCACCCTCATCCTCATCTCTCTACCCTCTCTCCTCCTACTTCTCCCTCTCCTCTTCTTCTCCTCTCGCTCTCTCTCTTTCCTCTCCTTCTCTCTCTCTCTCTCTCTTCCTACACCTCTCTCTCTCTCTCTCTTTCTCCTCTTCCTGCTCCCTCTCTTTTCTATACTCTCTACCTGAACTCCTGCCTCTCTCTCTGCTACGTCTCCCTCCTTACGTCTTCTCCATCTGCTCGACTCCCCCTCCTTATCCATCCGTCTTTCTCTCCTCTACTCCCTCTCTTCTCCTCGCTCCCTTCTCTCCTCTCCATATTTCTCTTCATTCCTAACTCTCTCTCTTCTCCTCGATCTACTCTCTCTCTACTACGCTCCGTCTCTCTCCTCCTTCTCTACTCCATACTCTCCTCTCCTTCTTCCCTCTCCTCTCCTACTCATGCTTCCCTCACCTCCTACGCTCCTCTTCTGCTCTTCTCCCTTTCCACTTACTCTCTCCTCTCTACATCTCCGCTACCATCTCCTTCTGTTCCCTTCCCCTCTTCTTCTCCCTCTCTTCCCTCATCTCCGTCATGCATCCGTTCAGCTTCCCGTCTTCTCCTCTCTCTCTTCTTCTCCTGCTCTCTCTACTCTCTCTCCTTCCCTCTCTCTCTCATCTCTCCTCCTCTCCTCCCCACCTCACATCTCCGTCTTCCTATCCTTCCCCTACCTTTCCTCTCTCCATCCCTCTCTCTGCACTGCTCTCTACTCTCTCTCCTCTCTCTCTGCATCTCTCCTCTCTCCTTCCCTCTCCTACCACTTCTGCTCTCTCCTCTTCCTCCGCCCTCGTCTCTCTCCGTCTAACATCTCCCCTCTCCACCTCTCTTCTCTCCCCCACTCCTTCTCCTCTTCCACCTCCTCTTCCTCTCTCTTCTTCCCCTCTCCTCTACTTCTTCCTCATCTTCCTCATTCTACTCCCTCACTTCTACCCTCTCACTCCTCTCTCTCTCTCTTCTACTCTCTCTCTCTCTCTCTCTCTCCTCTCCTCGATCTCTACTCTCCATCCTACTTCCTTCTTCTCCCCTCTCACTCCTCTCGCCCTGCTCTCCCACCATCCTCCTCTCCGCCCCTGTCTCTTCTCTCGTCTCTCTGCGCCCCCTCTTCTCCTCTTCTCTCTCCTCTCATCTCTTGCTCTCCTCTCCTCATCCTCTCGCTTCTCTCCTCCTCTCCTCCTCTACTCTCTGTCTCTCTCTTCATCCCATTCTACCACTCCATCTCTCTCTCTCATTCTCTCCTCTTCTCTCTCTCGCTCTCTCTCATACTCCTTACTTTCTCACTCGTCGTCTCTCTCTCTCTTTCTTCTCTCCCCTCTCTCTCTCTCTTCTCTCTCTCTCCTCTACGCTCTCTCTCTCTCCCCCTCTCTCCTGCATCCTCTCTCTCCTCGCTCCTTTCTCTCTCTCCTCGTCTCTCTGCCTCTGTTCTCTCTCTCTTCCATCGCCATCCTCACTCTCGGTCACGCTCCTTCTCTTCTCTCCCCTCTCTCCTCGTCCGCTACCCTACATCCGTCCTGACCATCCTTCTCTGATTTCCCTGCCCGCTCTGATCTCTCTCGCGACTCTCCCTCAATCCTCTCTCGCATTCCATCTTCCTCTCTTACCTCTCTTCCTTCCCCCCTTCTTCTCTCATTTAGTGCTCTCCCTGTCTCCTCCTCTTCTACCTTCCTCTCGCAATTCCCTGACTCTCTCTTCTCTCTCTCTCTCTCTCTCTCTCTCCTACTCCTCTCTCCTCTCTCTCTCCTCTCTCTCTCTCTCTCTCTCTTCTCTCTCTTCTCTCTCTCATCTCTCTTCTCTCTCTCTCTCTCTCTCTCTCTCTCTCTCTCTCTCTCTCTCTCCTCTCTTCTTCTCTCCCCCCCTTTCGTCTCTCTCTCTCTTCTCTCCCCTCATCTCTCATTCTCCTCTCTCTCTCTCTCTTCCTCTTCTCTCTCTCCCTCCTCTCTCTCCCCTCCTCTCTCTCTTCTCTCTCTCCTCTCTTCTCTCTCTCCTCTCTCTCTCTCTCTCTCCTCTCCTCTCTTCTCTCTCCATCTCTCTCATCTCATCATCTCTCTCTCTCTCTCTCTCTCTCCTCTTAATGCTGTGCTTCTATGTTGAACAGTCACTGGCTCCACCTTCCTTCACACCTTCCGACTTGAATATAAAAAACCTCTGACAGTTTCCCCTTCACCACCTCTCCGCCCCCCCTGTACACCGTCCACTGCTCTCCAATCCCTTCGCGACGCGCCCAGCCTCTGCCTCTGGCCCACTGGCTGCCCCCTCCTATCCCTATACAGCCTGTATCACTGCGTCCCGCCATAGTCTAGGACAAGGACCCATTGCGTCCCCCCGCCTTCTCTCAGCTAAACTCTCAGCCGTTATAAGGCGACCTGAATCTGGAAAATGTTGCATTGACCTTCGGCCATTCTCTTGGGCTGCATGCCTGCTCCGCTCTCTACGCCACTTCAAGACACACCGCGTGGGGAGACTTCCCAGTCTTTACCTAGAGCTCTCTCTGACTAAAACTTGCTTCAATATCGCAAACATCTCTTTTTCGTTAGCGTTTTCCCCCTCTCTCCGTTCGCAATATTCTCTTCAAATCTTGCCGCGAGAAACCTCAACATAAATTTCGCTCTCCCTATCTTACATTTATGCGATCGATACTCCCATAGCTATTCTTTGTCTAACGCTCTTATTACCTTGCCATACTGGTGGAGTAAAACATGTTCTCTATAAAGTTGGATTAGCGTAATTTGCATTAACTATGGCACTGTCGCTGATTCAAACATGCTATAAGTTTATAGTACAAATCTTGCACACTTGGACTTTTAGGCTTGGACGCCGCTGCCTCTGAATTTCAACCAATGTGTCTAAACAGCAGCACGTGATCAGATGCAGATTATGTAGATGTAATTCTACTAAACGGTTGCTACAACATTCTGGAGACATGGACATAGTGCCAGACTCCAGCTAATTGGACTGTTAGTATGGAAATGTAGTTGTTAATATTTATTGTAAGCATTGTCATTATCATGTACTTTTATATTTAATATCATTACATGATGATACCTATTTTCATTACATGATGATACTTGTTATGATGCTTGTTGTAGTGACCTGAAAGGAAGAGGAATAAGGGAATGTCATTTATTTTACCCAGGACTGCTACGGCATCAATGAAATTTCACAGGCACAGTGATTTCTGGCCAAATGGAGGAGAGCATCAGCGCCGGCCTGCCAAAGTGTGTGTCAGGTGTGTATAAGTTTCAATCCACTGTAAGAAATTTGTGTAACTCCATGAAGGATGAGTATATTGTCCCTTATTTGCTCTTGTCATCTCTCAGATTTTCCTTGGTTTTTTACTTTTTAATGTGGAAGAAGTTGGAGTATCATCTAGTTTAGATTAATTTTTTGCCACTGCAGGTGACATTGGTTGTGACCACGAACTGGCATATACCTACTATCTAGAGAGCATCAGTTATGGCATAGACGACACATACTTCCTTGCTCGTAATTGCTCAGCTTGGAATCAGTATGAAGAAGGAGAATGTCCATGCGGAGATGAGGCTCAGTACATGGGCTTTTTCGTTAATCCAGCGTGAGTGTGTTTGGTTTGGAATGTAAATTTCAACTATTATATGAATTTCATTGTATGACTTACCCCATGGGAGCCATTTATACTGAATTCTTTTTTACTGAAAGGGGCTAAATGAAAAAAATTATAAACTCAATCTCTGTGGCTATTGTATGGTTTCCTACATTAAAGTTACCACTACATCTGTGATTTGCAGAGTGACCGGAGTATTTTACCTGAACACCAGTGTCGCCCCTCCCTTTGCCATGAGAGACAGTGTTTGCAGCCCTGGAAGCAAGACCAATGATAGCTCCAACATCATCATCATAGCTTCTTCCACATCAGCTTCTGTTGTAGTTATAGCTGTTGCTGGTGCTGTTGTATTTGTTGTTAGGAGGCGGAAGCAGCAAGCTGACAGTGGCTTGTTAGTGGAAGAGGAGGGAGAGGATTGTGATGATGCACTTCTGGATGTATAGCTTTTACCTCTTTAGCAAATGGTACATGTGGAAGAACATTCCTAAACTTGCAGTTGTGAGAGTTATCTGTTATACAGATATGTTTATTTTTCCAGGAAGAAAATACTGTAATGAATGAGTAAAAATGTTTTCATGTATCAGAGCCAAAGATAGATTCCTTTTAAGAGAATTTGTGGCAATCTAGGATATAAGAAAAAAGTTTTTGCCTCCGTGAATATTAGATTTAAGTAATGATTTTTAAATATGATAAAATCTACTTAAATGACTTTTTATGTACAAGTAACCTGAGTCATTTTTGACAATAGCAATAAATCTATATAATAATGTCAGGTTTAATAGGTTTCTACTTTTTTAAACTTATAATGATGAAGATTCTCTTTGGTGAACCTCTTTTAGATTTCTAGATTTTTATCAACAATATGATCAACAGAAAATACATATATATATATGCTATATGCTAGTATATATATATGCACACACACACAACACACACACACACACACACACACACACACACACACACACACACACACACCACACACACACACACACACACACACACACACACACACACACACACACACACACACACCACACACACACACACACACCACACACACACACACACACACACACACAACACACACACACACACACACACACACACACACACACACACACACACACCACACACACACACACACACACACACACACACACACACACACACACACACAACACACACACACACACACCCACACACACACAACCACACACACCACACACACACACACACACACACCACACACACACACACACACACACACACACACACACACACACTACCACACACACATATAGACACACATGTGATAATTTCTTTAGCTGTATATGTCCATGTTCTGTGTGCTGAAAATCATATATAATAATATATATATATATATATATATTATATATATATATATATATATATATATATATTATTATATATATATATATATATATATAATATATATTTTTTTTTTTTTTTTTTTTTTTTTTTTTTTTTTTTTTTTTTTTTTTTTTATGCAGTCTTCTCAGATTAAGAGTTTATGTGTGTAGAACATGCATCCAGTTTAGTATAATGATGGGGTTTCTGTGTTAGTGTGAAAATGTTAAATGGATTAAGGACAAGCAGAAACTTCCATTCAGTTCTTGTTATAATCTTTTTCTTACAGAATTTAGACTTGACTTTGCATAGAATGTGAGAATTAATGCTGTAGCACTTCAGACCATCCTATGCTATTTTGCATTCTTTAAAAGTTAATTTTTGAAGTAATATGCAAGAATCTGTTGCCTATATTAGACTGCTGCTCTCATTTGAAGAATGGGTCTACAGAACAGTGGATGATTATAATTGTGATAATTGTAAGGAATTCTCTGTGTCTGGCATGCTGTTTCGCTGTCCAGATTCTCCCAGATATATTTCAGCTACTTCTCTGTTTGTTGCGAGTTAGTTAACGACTACGATGGCATGATTCCCTGTAAGATGTAGAATTTTTGAAGTTCGTTAATGGTCATATATTAAGCATCTATACTATGCGTACTACGCCTGTAATGCATTTCCGTTCTTCAATGCGTCTTTTCTGATTTAACATCCACTTACACTTGTATCTTCACCTGAATCATTATATGGGAATTTTAAGAGTCGCGTCTTCAATGATTTGACGGCACCATATCTCTGACAATACATGAGCGGTCTATATAAGCATTATATTCGACTCATTATCAGTGAGACCCCATCGCGAGCCTTATTCTACCCTATGTGAACTTCCACAGTGATATTCTAGCAAATTCACTTGTCGTCCATGCATAGCGCTATTCATCACCAGCCCACCATCACAGTCTCATCCCAGAATCTTATGCTCTCAATATGCTGATCTGCTCTAACTTTTCCCAGGCGTCGCCCTATCTCATGTCATCATGATCTTCCTCTGATCAATTCACATCCCATGCACTCCCTGATATTCTCTTCTCCTCAGTCCCACATGCCATTCTTCATCAGCCACGTCTCTCAACTCGTCGTCACATCTTCTCTTGTCGAGCTTCACCCCACTTTCCAGTAATACCACACCCGCTCCTGATACTGCAGCTACATCCCATTACACTCTCTTGTCCGCTTTCGCAGAACTCCAATGAATTTATGAGTGAATGCCATCGACCTATCACATCTCATCTCCCTGCCAGCAACTGTGATGATCTCCGAGATTAGCAGGACACACGTACATGCGAACCCAAACGAAAAAAGCCAAACACCCCGAATCACTAGCTTACATCTGACCATCTCCGCGACTCAATATCCCACTCTTCTTTTACACTGATACATGTCCAGTAACAAACACCCGCGTTCTTCATGACACATTCTACCTTGCGTTACTTGCCGACTTCAGACGTTGACTCGCATTACTCCTTCTCTCCTCTCTCCTATCCTCTCTCTCTCACGCTAGGTCTTTCCTAGACATCCATTTGATCTCGCCTCCCGTCTAGTCTCTTTTCTTCTCTTTTTTCTCAACAGTCGTTAGTACGTAGTGGGTTTGCGTGTAGCATCTCTTCTAGCCATATTCCCATTTTCATCCTCATTTTAGAGTTCATGTAGCCAGATTAGAGACTGGGTCACATATGTGGTCTTTGCACAAAGAATCTCTATTATGTAGTTAGTGTTGAGTAACTCTTAAAAAGGAAAAGCATGGAAATTTTAGCAATTGTATCTTTCTTATAATGTACTGTGAATGAGGATATCTCTAATGGGTCTGAACTTGGTTATTATTCCATTGTAGTCTTTGGTATTATGTATCAAAAATATGTAATTGTCCTATTTTTCATTGGTGTTTTTCTGTTTGTGCCTTTTTATCTTAGGACCAAATGCATATATTAAATCCATAACATTACAAAGCTTTAGGATAGAAAGATAGAAAGGGGTATATGGAAATGTTCATGGAAATTACTTACCAACCAGCCGGATTATCCTCTACAACCGAATCCTATTTCAACACCAGATTTTCAAAGTAGCGTTCCAAGTTGGTTTGTAACGTAGACTGCTCAGCGTTCTAATCAAATGCAAAATGGATCTGATGCTTTTAATGTTCATGCTTTAAGATGTAACGTAAACAGTATTCCTCTCTTTCATATAATGTTTATGCAGTTTTTGTGGTTTTAGTTACCTCACAACTTATAGCAATTAGATCTTTTTTTTTCTCTTCCCTCTTTTTCTCCAAACACAACCAGTACATGCTATTAGTTTGGATGGTGCCTAATTCGCTGAAGAGCGCCTCTCCTCCTACCAACAACACTCCAAACAACTTATACATCGGTGTACATCGCACCTCCGCACACTCAGAGCATCTCTTTCATGATCTCAACAAATGCACCCCGCGTCCCCCAGCCATTACGAACTTTATGTTTCGTATCAATCGCCACTAACCATTCCTCCATGAGCCACGACCTTACATCCCACCGGCATCTATTCCCATATTTATACTCTATGCGAAAGTTCTTACGATTCATCTGGACGAACATTATTACGGAATTCTATGCGCACGTCTCAACCAGCCACTTGAGGCTTTTCTACAGCAAGGGGCACACTCTCCTAATAATCCCCATAAAACCAGCTCCTCCTCATGGAGCGCTCCTGATACGGCTCAATCACTCGACTAGTACTGTGCAGACAGAGCTGACATGTCTTCAACCTATGTCTACCTCCCATTATCACACACTCTCTTTCTGCACCTTCCTCACCCATTACTCTCGTCACGTACTCCACCATATATATTTGCTTCTTACCTTTTCCTCTCTCTCCCCGCTCCCCTCCATCCATTCTTACATTCTCTAAAATTACGCACCTGCTCCCTTTCTCATCATGTCCGTCGTCGCCAGTTGCTTGGTTCGATCCATTCCTCGCCCTTTCCCTTGTTCCCATCCTTATCTCCCTCTCATTTCCATATCGACAACTTACATGCCCCTACTAGCCTCACGTCCGCGCTCACGAAACTCCTGAGTCCCTTACCGTCCTTGACGCGCCAAGTCTCGTATTGCCAGACCTTTAAGACCGAGGCCCTGTGCTAGGCGATCCCAGCCGGGCTGGCTTCAAGTAACATGCGCTCTAATGTATAACCCAACTTCCAGCTTCAAGTCATCTCTCACACTAGTAAAATAGACTCCCACGCGTACTACAAATAGCTGCCCGGCTCCAGTTCACAGGCCAAAGGACAGGCTTGATATAGTCGCGATGTCCGCGCCTAGCTCACACCAAAGTGAAGCTTCTTTCAGTCTACTACTGTTTTCCGTATCCCAAAACTAATAATTGCAATGCATCCTGGGTCACCATATGTCCCAGCCCCTCCAATTTTCGTCGTTGTCTATTATGATTCTTTTTCTTGCATGCCCATGCCCATTTCCTCATTGACTGCACACCATACGTCAGATGACCCCTGCGCTGTCCTTACATTACAAGCCAGAAACGTGTCTCATCTAGTCTTGTCATCTAGCGTAACGTCTCTCTCGAGCTTCTTCCACACGGTCTGACAACGACTATCGCGTACATCAACTCCCACGCTCACTAATTGAATTCTGACTTCTCATTTATAACACCATCACCTAACCATTCCTGTTACAGACATTCTTACATGTCCGCTAACACACACCCCTTACTACTGCAATCCGCCCTAAGAAACACACAGAAATTTAGATCGGACAAATTCCTCACAAGTTTATGCTGTTCACACCGCGTACTTTATAACATAATGCATGCCATGCCATATACTCGTACGCTTCTTTAGTGGTCTCAACATTTATCCAGTGCGGATTTGTGATAATCTCACAACATCGATGCCGATAAGTGAGGAAGGTGAGCCTCAGTACTTGCCAGTCCACACCCACTAACCCTACAAACCACTACTACACTACCTGATGGAAAGAGATGCTACATTCAGTTTACTGTTGTATATTGGACAATCTCCCGTCTGGTGGCATTAGAAGTACCAAATTGTATAATTCTTCTTGATGTAATGTCGTAATGTAGAACTTGCGAGCTAATCAGCTGACCTAGCACTCTAGCCTCGTAACTCCTACCTTATTCATTCTTTCTTTGTTTTGCTTTCAAGAGTCTTTTTTGTGCTGTTGGTTTGTATGTGCATCATATTCAATCATCTTCCATGCGACTATTAGTCATGAAACTCCTCAGTTCTATACATAAACCTCTCATTTATGGACAAATATACATACCCATCATATGTGGGTATTACACAAGCTCACAGATTCACACAAAGGCATACACACACACTCATACTTACACACATTCATTTGCATTTACAATGCAATATTTTATATATATATATGGACATTACAGCTGTAATGTATGAATAAATTACTGAAGATATCATACTACTTTTTCTTTAGAACCTTTATGTGAGTACTACATGTCCATTTCTATTAATTTTTATGCATATGTAAATAAGACCTTATGACTTTTTTGATTGACCATTGCATTCAGGGTCCCCTCCCAGTACCTTGCTTGTTGTTGTTGTGGGAGGGCTTAGGAGACAGAAACTGAGGCCCAAGGTAGGGGATCACCCATACCTTGGGCCTCAGCCCACATCTCAACTAATTTTGCTTGGTCTTTTCTTCTCTCTTTTCCTCTTATGTATCTTCTTTATCCCCTTCTTCTATCCCATTCCTAAGGTGTGAGAGCTGTGCTGAAAGGCTGGCTTGGTATCAGTCATGAAAGGCCTCTGGGAGCCATAGGCACGGTATTCCCTTGGTTAATTACCTAGCCCATACCCCTTATGGGGACCCTGAGGGGTAGACCGTTTCATTTCCCCAGTTTATTCAGGCTCACCGTAGCCAATAATGAAGATTCTTTACCCTTAATAGGGGCATTAAGGCTTGCCCCTTCATCAACTAGCCTATATGCCCCTCCTTTGACCACAGCTCCAACCACTGATACTAATACCCCCTCCTTGATGCTTACTGACAACTCTATCCATTCCAAAACACCCACCCAGGATATTACTCAACTTCCAGAAAGCACCCCTTTCTCTCTCCCAACATTCTCCTCTCCATCTCCTACTGCAGTCCTCGTCAATGTCTACCCCCTCTTCCCTTATTACTACTCATCATCCTTATTGTCTGCCCCCCCACAGAACTACACCACCCCATCTTCCTCTTGCCCTTGCCCTTTTCCTGCCTCTACCTCTGCAAACCTTTTAAGTACTGTCTTTAGCCCAGCCAGGTGGGATCAATTCTTTGTGATTCCCCTCACAGCCCCTATTCTGAGAATACCCTTCTCTTTCAACAGTGCCTCTACAAACAAATAGGCAAGGTAACCTTATGCAGTCGCTCTGATTGTTTACGCCTTGTCACAGTTACATCTGAATCCCAAGCTTGTGCACTATCTATCCTAACTGACCTCACTGGCAAACACATTCCTGCTGAACCTTACCCCTCTCTTAATACATGTACTGGAACTGTTTCTATTCCCCCAAATGCTCGTCTTATCTACAACAAGGACTGCTCAGACTGTTAAAATAATCTACTTGCCTGCCTTGCTGATTATGATGCAGTGGCAGTACAGTGTTACACTATTCCTCCCAGAAGCCAGCGTAAGTTCCATATCAATATTGCCAAGATTAGCTTCCGTAAACATTACTTCCCCCATGAAGTATATTGGTGGATTGTCCTGCCATGTCCGACCATATCGACCGTTCCAATTGCCCTGCCCAGTCACGTACACGTGCCAATTGTGGAGACTCCCATAATGTATTTTATAGGAGCTGCCCTGCATAGAAGCTTGAATATGAAGTAGCAGTCCTCAGATTCATACTAGGCCTCCTCAGATATCTATCTCCTCTTCTCCTCCTCATAAGAGAACCTTTGTTTCTCAGTCCTGTTCACCCAACTCCCCTCCAGAAACCATTAAAGACATCCCAATCTTCTTAAAGATGACCCAAGGGAACACTCCACTCCCTCATCCACCCTCTAATCCCTCTCTTTCTACTCCTTATACATTCAAAGTATTTGCAGATATCTATCCTCCTCCTCCTCAAGCTTCCCCCACCCCTCTTCCTCCTACACCCTCCCAATATACCCCACCCTCTCTACTGCTCCCACTTGAATACTCAGACGAATCCCCTCTGTCACAACAGTGTCCTTCTCCAGACCCCTCCCCTCCAGACAGTC